AGCAGGGAAACTAATTCCAGCCAGGGCTGCGGGGTGGGCGCTGGCCGGTAGTGGAATAACCCCAACAATCTACATCAAGCAAACTAACGATGGAAATACTCTGGTGATAGACGGTCAAGTAAATGGGAAAAACAGTCAGCTAACATTAGATACTGGAGCTTCAAGGACGGTGATAAATGTTCGGCTGCTCGGGCAAAACATCAGGAAACACGTTAAACCAATTGTTGGCCTACGAATGAAATCAGCTACCGGCCAGTGGATACCGATAAGTGGAAAACTGCACGTAACAATCAAAATTGGGGAACGTGTTTATCGACATGAGGTTATTGTGGCCAAAATTCTGGATGACTGCATCCTGGGACTTGACTTCCTGCAAGGGCACCAGTGTAACATCGACTTAAAATCTGGAGTATTACTATGTGGAACTGAGGAAATTCCGATGAAGGGTGGAACCCTGGGAAAAGTTTGCTGTTTAAGAAGAACTGTTCTTGAACCAAAATCACAGACTCTCGTACCAATCGCATTACCTAGGAGGATTGAAGGAAGTTTACCTCGAAGGTGCGCTGTGATTGATAAATCGGAACACGTAAACTCATGGCTACCGGCAAGGACTGTCGTGGGGTCATCTGATGTCAACCGCATTCCGGTATTCAACTTCAGTGATTCAAACATTACGATTGAAGAAGGAGAGCCTGTGGGCGTTTTGGAAGAAGTGGCCTGGATAAGAAAATGCTCGGAGAATCTTGTGAAGAAGGACAGTACGGGAATAGACTTTGTAACGAAAATCTTAGACGAAAACAAAAGTCTGACAAAAGTGGAGACTATGAAAGCTAGAAATTTACTCCTTCGATTCTCTGATGTGTTTTCAAGAAGCGATGGTGATATTGGCCGAACTGGTTTGGTGAAGCATAAAATAAATACAGGTGATACAATGCCAATTCGTCAAAGGCCCAGACGTATACCATTCGCTCGTGAGAAAGAGGTTGAACAAATGATTGACGATATGAGGAAAAATGACGTGATAGAGCCCTCTTCTAGCCCTTGGTGTTCACCTGTCGTGCTTGTCAAGAAGAAAGATGGTTCAACGAGGTTTTGCGTAGACTATCGACGATTGAATGATGTAACCAAGAAGGATAGCTACCCGTTACCAAGAATCGATGACACACTTGACACACTGAGTGGCATGAAATGGTTTTCAACGCTCGATCTGAAAAGCGGCTATTGGCAGGTGGATTTGGATCCCAAGGACAAGGAAAAGACCGCATTCTCAACTGGGAAGGGACTCTGGCAATTTAAGGTGATGCCATTTGGATTATGCAATGCACCGGCAACCTTTGAGCGTTTGATGGAACAGGTGCTGGCGGGACTGCTGGGCGAAACCTGCCTAGTTTACCTCGATGACATCATCATCGTTGGAAGGGATTTTGACGATCATCTAAGAAAATTGGAAAGGGTACTCGAAAAGCTGCGTGGAGCAAATTTAAAGTTGAGTCCAAAGAAATGCTCTTTCTTTAAGCGCGAAGTGAATTATCTAGGACATGTTATTTCTGAGAGAGGAATTGAGACTGATCCAGCCAAGACTGCCGCTGTTAAGGAATGGCCAACACCTAAAGACAAAACGCAAGTTCGGGCATTTCTTGGATTATGCTCGTATTATCGGCGGTTTGTGAAAGGATTCTCGGACATTGCCAAGCCATTGCATCGATTGACAGAGGAGAAACGTGCCTTTATATGGGACGAGGATTGTGAGCAAGCCTTTCGCGAACTAAAAGAACGGCTTTGTAAAACGCCAATTCTCGGATACCCCAGCGCGAAAGGAATATTCGTAGTTGATACGGACGCCAGTAATATCGGAATAGGAGGTGTCCTTTCACAACGCGATGGTGAGCAGGAGAAGGTTATTGCTTACTTCAGCAAGTCACTATCCAAGCCGGAGAGGAATTATTGCGTGACCAGGAGGGAATTACTGGCCGTAGTCAAAACTCTGCACCATTTCAAGAAGTATTTACTGGGACGGAAATTTTTAATCAGAACTGATCACGCTGCTTTGAAATGGCTGCTTCAGTTTAAGGATCCTGAAGGCCAAGTAGCCAGATGGTTGGAACAACTTCAGGAATTTGACTTTGAAATCGAACATCGCGGCGGAAGAATTCATGGCAACGCAGATGCATTATCGAGACGCCCATGCGTGGAAGATTGCAAGCATTGTGCCAAGAAGGAAATTGCTTTTCTTAAGGTGATAAGGACTGATACTGTCGACGAGGCATGGGGAGATGATGCGATGAAATTAGAACAGGAAAGAGATGCGGATATCAAACCAATACTGGAGTGGCTACGAAGTGGTAACAAGCCAAGTTGGAGTGACGTCGCCCAATATAGCGCGGTAACGAAAGGTTTATGGGCACAGTGGAAAAGCCTTACGCTTCATAACGGACTTCTGTGCAGGAAATGGGAATCAACAAACGGCAAGGACGAGCATTTGCAATTGGTGGTGCCTCGTTCAAAAATAAGGGATGTATTAAAAGCGTTCCATGATGGATCTTCTGGAGGACATTTGGGAATTAGGAGGACTTTGGTGAAGATCAAGGATAGGTTTTATTGGTTGCATTGCAAATATGACGTCGAAGATTGGTGCCGGAAATGCACTAATTGTGCAGCTGTCAAGGGTCCACAAACAAGAAGCAGAGGGGCGATGAAAATCTACAATGTTGGTATGCCTTGGGAGAGAATAGCCTTAGACATCGCTGGACCATTTCCAATCACTGATTCGGGCAATCGCTACGTTTTAGTGGTTATGGATTATTTTACAAAATGGCCGGAGGTCTTTGCCATACCGAATCAAGAGGCAGTAACTGTAGCTACGAAGTTGGTAAACGAGGTATTCACCCGATTCGGAGTGCCCTTGGAGATGCACAGTGATCAAGGACGGAACTTTGAGTCCCAAGTTTTTCAGGAAACTTGTAAACTTTTGGGAATCCATAAGACTCGAACGACTCCTTATCATCCACAGTCAGATGGAATGGTCGAACGTTTCAACCAAACATTGGAACGACACTTAGCAAAGGTGGTTGACAGCCATCAGAGAGATTGGGACACTTACATACCTCTCTTCTTGCTTGCCTATCGGACTGCTGTACATGAAAGTACCGCAAAGACGCCTGCATTTGCAAATTTTGGAAGGGAATTGAGATTACCGGCAGATCTTGTATCGGGCTGTCCACCTGGCGACTCTCGCACAGAATTTAGCGATTACATAAGCGAGTTAAGGGCAAAAATGTTGGACATTTATGAGCAGATCAGGGAGGCCGGTCTTCAAGCTAGTGATCGCGCAAAGACGCGCTATGATCGACGAGCCAATTCTGTTGGGTTTGAAGAAGGGTCATTGGTCTGGCTTCATAATCCAGTCAGAAGGAAGGGAAAATCTCCGAAGCTGCAACCGAGTTGGGAAGGTCCTTATGAGATAGTCACGAAGATCAATGACATTACTTACAGAATTCGGAAGACTTCAAGGAGCCCTTTGAAAGTTGTCCATATAGACAGGTTGGCGAGGTATTACGGCAGCAACGATGCTCGGGACGAGCGAATCTAAGAGGGGGGCAGTGTGACGGAAAACTCTTTGACATCATGACGTCAAGGGATGGTTGTCAAACGTTGCCTAGAGATTGTAAATTTCGTCGTGAATTGTCAACACGAGTTGGTGTAATCGGTAAGGCGTGTGGATTACACCACAGAGACCCCGAGTTCGAGTCCCGCCGTAAACATGAAGTTTTTTAGTTGATGGAAGTTTTGTCGAACTTTCTGGAATTATTTGAGTGAAAGAAATGAAAAATTAAGGAGCGAGAAGGAGAATAAATAAAAATGAATAACGAAATTATTGGAAGGTTCTGGAGGCATGACGATCAAAAAGAATAACGAAATTGAATGTTCTAGAACCTGACCGGGGGTATATAAGCGGAACTGCGGCTCACCGCTGGCAGTTGAGTTCTAAGTCTAAAGCGATTCGGAAGAAAAGGAAGAAGTGGAAAAGAAGAAAAGTGAGTGAAATAGTGAAGTGCAGTGAAATAGTGAAGTGCAGTCAGTTAAGTGAGTTAAGTCAGCGTGAACGGCAAAGTTGTGTCAGTCGGCCGGACTCTGCTGGAGAAGAACGCCGATAACTTAACTCCGTGGACGCTGTAACTTAAGTGCAATAGAAAGTCTGAAAACCGGTATTAGTGTTTCATTTCATCCAATCCCGTAACCCAAGCCCGCATAGTCAGGAACGTGACGTCAGGCACGTAACAATATTTTTTCTAAATGTAACTGTTTGTTTGCTACATTCTCCAATGGGACTTTTTCCTAGTTATATAAACTTTCTATGATTGTTTAAACACGACTAATAAACTTATGAAACCTGGACCTATACATATAGCTTTATATCTATCTATTATGTAATATATAAGTTTAAAATCGCCAATCCAACTTAAGCAAGCTTAATTATGCTTAGCAGTGAGCATTTATAAGCTGATGATGATAGTGACCCGGGTCTCATACTATACACGACGGGTTTAAAACATTTTTTTTATCACGTACGATAAATATGAACAAAAGTCAATACAAATATATACAACCATCGTAAAGATTCACGCAGACAAGGTAAAACGTCACCTAAGTACACATTTCGCACGTCCATATGGTACGTGTGAATTTATAAGAAATTAGATGAGCAAGTTAACTAACAATAAGCACAATTTATAGCTAAATAAACACAAAATCATGACGAATGATTGTTTTTCATATCACAAACATACATCGTGTTGAGAAAATGTAAACAATATTGTGCGAAGTGTACTTAATCAATATGTTATTTCCAGCAACATCGAAGATTTTGAATCTACATTCGCACATTGGGGTATTGTGGTGCGGTTATTGTGGGAAGGGTAGGCGATTTTGATATTTAGGTCATTTTGAAGAAGTGTTATATTTGTTTAAGATCGCATTTTGGATACTTGGATATAGAAAAGATGGGAAAAGTAGATCAAATTCAAGTTGACACAAGCCCGGAAGAAGGATGGAAAAATACAGACTTTATGGATTATCTTACCTCCGTTTCGCGAACACGAGGAGAGGGTCGGTGCGTGTATTAAACCTGACAAGTACCAGTGTGACTTTTCTCGTCAGTAGGCAATTATAGGCTACTGATATGAAGTGAACGATTGTCTATTAGAAATTTAATGTTTGGAAAAGTACCTGTCATCGGAAAAGAGGATCACACACACCTTAACATCATATTCATCATTATGCGACACTACATTTCCCGCTCCCGCTCCGCTTATCATCAAACCTCAAGCCAACGGTCCGTTGGCCTACGTTCTAAACAAGAAACAAACACGTTTGTTAGACGCGTGTGATATCATCGCATTCAGAATCATCAGTCTGAATACCTTGCCGATTGTAAACACTGTTGTCCCTACACACCTGTATTGTACAGCCGTGATTGTGATGAGCCTGGCATGCAAGTTGTATGCCATATGTTTGTGTTATTGTTAATCAATGATAGAATGCGTTTCGTAAACACACATGCCATTAGGAAGTAATAAGAGGATGCAATGTTATGTAACAATTTTTCTAAACAATACTCTCTGTGATTAATAATGGCTTGGTTAATGACGAAGACGAGACGAAGAAGATGCATGGTTGGAAATACAGAATGAGAGATATGGGTTTAAGAGAGAATTATTTTTTGAAAATTAGTTCGTCACTTCCAAGTTTCCTTTCTTATCAGCAACTAAGATTGCAAGAGCTTAATAGATTATCAGCTAAGTCTATATTAGGTCCCTTACCTCTATATATACAAAACATTTTTAAAATTTGAAAAAGAAAATCTTAATTAAAATTGTTGAACTCGTTTACGTTATTGTCATAAAATTGTAAAGGATAAATATAGGTTACAACATGATGCAATTAAAATACATAATAAGTGAAATGTGAGAAAAAAAAGTTTGCAAGCAATAAAATGGACGGATGTTAATTTGATAGGTATTCATTTAAAGTTCCAATTATAAAAGTGTTCCTTAAAACAATATTTATTGTAATATTTTATTTGTATAACTAAATAAATAGCTGCAAGTTGCAACAAAAGTATTTTAATTAAAAAAGTAATCATTTAACACGAAGATAATCTAAAAAGATAAAGAGAATGAATTTGCATTGAAAAATATCTTCTTTGACTTCACAAAGGCTTTTGTACGATTCAGTTGCAGTCAATAAATTCAATTTGCTATCTAGTCAATGTATCGGTTGATTCAGAGCAGTTTTGAACACATCTGGTCATGATACGTGCGTCACCTACTATTTATCTTGGCTAGTGTCGCTCGGCCATCAAAACACAGACTTATCGTATCCATCCGATTTCGTCTCGTACTTTTATGACCTGTTTCTAGATACACATTTGATTTAAGAATTTCTTTTCTGTTCATTAGAGATGATTATGATTTCATTGTTTTTTATACTACTTTTTCCATTTTCTTATGTAATAGGATGGCAAACGAGCAGACTGATTACCTGATGATAAGCATTTGGCGCCGCCCATGGACACCCGCAGCACCGGAAGAGCTACGAGTGCATTATCAGTCTATCGGGGATTAGGGATAAGCGAAGGATTGGGCCTCCGACCAGTAACCTCACCTACACCGTGAAATACAACGCTATGGTATGGTGGTTGTTTCACACCGTATATTGTGAGGCCTTTGCAGAAGCTGAAGCATGGCCTCTCCCATACTTAAATATGATTGTTTGATACAGGTATGATTTTATTATCTACTTGTTTCCACTTTATCCTACTTTTCCATTTGTATAGTTAGGTCATAAATTCCCATCAAGATTGATTTTTCATTTTCATAATGCATTTTTTTGTTATAGAAATAGCAATAAAACTCATTTCACGAACTATTGCATTTCTGAAGCCATTTTTGTCGATAGCCAACCAAATTAATTTAATGATCTGAGAACGTTTTCACTGCTTTGCTCAGTTGCTAAAGCCCTTAAATACTGACAAAACAAACTACCGAAGCAAAAGAAATGTCTGCACCCTTCCGTTTTTAAAGTGCATATGCGCGTGCGGGGAATAATACATGCGAACCATCCGGCAGTTGCGTTGAGACTGACGCGTGCCCGTCACGTGACACCCACGTGGCGACATCTATTGTGTAACGAACTTATTATATCGCGTGAAGTGCTATGGAAGAAATGGGAAAATGGGGTTTTAAGTAAAATCAATACTTTTTGAATGCATTTGTATTGGAATAAAATGAATCCTTGATCTTTTTGGTGGTTAAATTATCGAAAGCGTTTCTACGAATATGATTTCTAGGAAGCAGGATCCTATATATATAGAAGATCCTATTCAAAGTTGAATCTTATTACATGACAAACATCATCAGCCTATAATTGCCCACTGCTGGGTAAAGACCTTTCTAACACGCTATGCTTGATCATGTCCATCAACATCAATATACAAGTTCAGGTTTCTTCACAATGTTTTCTTTCACCGTTTTTCAGTGGTGTCTGAATAAGAGTGTCTAAGTCAAGAGGCTCTGGCGCCTTAAACTTCGGGCCATGACATAGTTGAGTCTTATTAAAGTAATAATAATAACAAAAGTAATTACTTGTCCTTATCATTTCAGCGAATGAAACAGCTGTTACTGATATAATCACTGATCGCGGCGCTATTCACAAATATTGGCTCACCCATTGTTAAGTTATGAACGGTGTAACAAAAAAATGTTTTTCCCTATATACTTTTAGATATAAATAGATAAGGATACATGGGCATGATTTCATTCAAGGTTTTACATTAAAGTAGGTATGTTGAGTGCAAAAATACATGACGCATTGCTCATTCATATTATCGACTACTTATCTGTTTTTATCAATCTGATTATAGGGATTACGGTCAATCGCAAGATTTCGATTGTATGAACGGAAAACACAATATAGCATTACTAGGTAGGTACCTACTTACTATTGACTCATTTTGCCTTTGTTTTACCCTATTCATAAATTTGATGTTACGACTTCTTTGCCTGCATAAACAGCTTCTTTGTAGTTGGGTCAAATATGGATGATTGCGACTTTTATCATTTTAAATATGTGATAGGGCGAGTGAGGAGACGGACTACCTGATGGTAAACTACCAGCTCTGTTTATGGATATTGGAGACCCGCAACACTGATAGATCCTGACTTACAGTAGTTGCAGCGGTTTTGAGGGGTTATGGCAAGCTTGCCCACAAAAAAATCCGTTGCTAGATTTAATAAATCTGGGATCTATTCTGCTCGTCAGTTTTCTGCGAGGCCGTGGTATTACTCAGGTTGAACAGGATCATACGCGCCAAAGCATGGCCCTCCCACACTTATTATAAAATATGTACTACCGTATGGCGGTGGACAAAAGTCGAAAATAGAATCGTCCCTTATAACTAATAAATGTTTGCGAACTAATTACACAATAAGCAAATTGTGGGTCTTCTCTAAGGTAATCCTTGCCTAAATCTACGAGGAATAAATTTGAAATGTTATGTTATTTATAAAAGTAAATTCGAAGCACAGATTAATTTGTGCTCTGCGGGAGTCATTTGCTGCTAAGAGTAGCATCACAACGCGTGCGGCTATCCTCTTTGAATTAGCATAATATCACACGTGTGTTTTCAAAAGACGATCGCCAGCCTCTTCTTGGAGTATCGCGGGGCCGAATTCAACTAAAAAGGGGCTTATGGTTTTTATAAGCGTTTGTATGTTATGAGTATAACAATAGATAGATATAACTATAATTATCTATGCTATAAAACTGTGTGTTTGTAAAGTGGATTCTTGCTAATACATTTCGAATCAAATCTTGAACTGGTTGCAGAAGACATTTGATGATTTTCTACCTTCGAAAGGAAAAATTATGACTGCTAAATGTAGAGTTCACCCTCCGTGATTTGTCATTTACTACATGAACTTACTTCTTTCGAATAAGATCATATTTATTTACAACTTACACTACATGCATCATTTACTCTGATACTCGTAACATCCAATATCTAGCAATCACGATGATATAAAGAATTATGTGTATCTCTCGATTAGACTTTGAGTAGAGAACAAAATATCTGTATAATGCCGACACCTTTTTTTTCAATGACTTCATTTTTAATTTTTAGTTTTCAAACATAGCACCAATAATATAAATACGATCAACAGACTTTATAAGAAGCAGTATAATTGGTTCTATGGGAATGTCACAAATGAAAAAAGTACCTATCTACATCTCCGAGTCAAGGCCACAGTAAGCGTGGGTCTGCGGACGACGAGTAAGGGTAAGTCGCCGCCGGACCAGAACCAGACCAAAGCGCGCACCACAGACGGGGCTCTATAGGGCTGCTGTTCAGCCGGGGTTGCGGGGCTAGCGACTGTAAAGGATATTAATTCCTTTACTAGAAGTTAAGAAATCAGGCAAAGTAAAAACTTCAATTTAAAAAAAGAATGACATAACTTTCCATTTTCTGGACATTTATTTTACTTTTGGCTTTTTATTTATACGTAAATAACGAACATATTTATTTAATCTCAAAGAATATATAAACGTTAATATTTATACCCATTAGATGTTGATATAACCTTAAGACCGGTGAGAAACACAGACAACAACAAAAATACAGACACGTCCATAAAGTAATATTTATAAGTAACAACAGATATCAGCAATTAGTTGTTTCGAGTCTGAGGTCGACGTCTGTGGCATGATGTTGGCGGGTCCTGTGGCTCAGTGAGCAGTAAAGGGAAACGCGTTGACGATTATGCATAGGAAGAGGGACGCTAAGGAGACGGTAGAGGACTTATCAGGCTATCACCATCCTTCTGCGCTAAAAGTACCCCAATTTACAGGAAATATCCTGATTCATTACGATCAACAAAAAAAGTCCAAAACGGTAAACCGCCCAAGACAATAAGGATCTATAAATAAACAGTGGATCGATATCCCAAATAGACATATCGACCAGATGGCCGAGGATATCCTGTTGGAACAGATTGCCCACGATAATTATAGTTCGTAAGTGGCGCGTGCGCGGGAGGCACACTTGCGCTTGCGCCGGATTTGGTGCAGTGAGCCTTGTCACGCGACGCTGTTCTTTGTCCACCAGGACATGCGAACATTACACGTATCGTGTGGTGAGGGGCTGCATGACTTGAAGACTAATTTGGGTAAGCTTCAGTCAGCGAGAGGCTGTGTCGCTGAATGGGTTCTTGGACGGTTGGCAGTCTTTGAAATCGTTCTGGTGTGTGTTTAATGTTGAAAGGAATGTTTTGGATTATCGATAGGGCCTTTTTATTTTAATTTATTGAAAATAATGACTTACCTACTCACGTAATTGAACTAAGAAAAGCTCTATATTATTTCAAAGTCACAACGGGTCTCTTATCCATGAGAAGCGTGCACGTCACGTTAAAGAACTATTAATACGAGTAGGTATCGTCAAAAAGGATATTACTGGCCCTTCAATCAGATAGTAGTTTGCAAAAGTTGACACTAGATGGCAGTTTGCAGAACATATAAATTCTGACGTTGCACTAAGTCTAATTAATTACAGTATTAATGAAGGCTGTTTTTCTATAAGTAATGCAAAGAACGGCCTGAGATCGGAAGCGATTCATTAGACACAAGTCGTTGGACATAGAGGTACGAATCTTGACATAAACTTGTTGATGAACCGGTTGGCAAACTAGTTGACTATTTCCCTTATATATTTCGTGGGATTTTGCTTCCCAAACTCTGTGTTAAGTTGTGATAGGAAGCCTTTAATAATATCGGTCTCTTTTCACAGTTTTAAAATAGATTTACAATTTTAAAATAACTGTCGGATTGATTCAAAATTAACGGTAATATCCACCACACACGGACATGACAAAAACAGTCACATGTTATAATTTAATTTGCGTTCTATATAGCTTCCTACGATTAGCCGTGGAATAAGAAATTACAAGCTGCCAGCACAGTTGCCCCTGCGCACAACAAAAAGTAAAACTAGTCTTACAACTGACGGTATCCTTACAAAGTAGGTATTAATTAATAATTTATTTCCCATCCTAACACCATGTGAAGTGCATCCGAGGAGTGAGTACGGGCTTAACATCAACACGAACAAATTTGGATCTCGCGTGAGCTTCCGTTCTGCGCCCGCGCACCGAACTAGACAGATGCTGTCAACATTCATGTTTATATCATAATTAAGTTACAATGTTTATGCTAAACGTTTATAATAGTTATCAATTACAAACTAATAAACACTTCATTTTTATAGATATTTTTATAATTATTTGTAAAGGTGTAAGGTTTTTATTGGTTGAGATATCACCGTGTAATTTTAATTACGATGGCAGTTTACAGGTTATTATCAGACGTGGGACATATGTTTCTAAGTTCGAAATGTTACGGGTTAAAATGTTGTTAGCCCCTGCGTAAATCAGGATGTTGGACTTCCGAAACAACTGCTACAGTTTACACGACAATGAATGATGGTGCATCTATATTTATTTATTTATTTTAAAATAAAGCTTTAACACGCGTAAATAAATCGGAGTTACCGCGTGACGCGTGTCAAGTTTTATTCGAAGGGTGATAAAATATTGCTTACGTTTTCAGTAATATTTATGTAAATGAAACTATTTAAGGCAATAGAAATATCTATCAGAAAAGGTTAGCTCTATCTATACTAATATTATAGAGGTAAAATTTGTAAGTTTGTATGTGGGGGTAATCTTTAGAACCGCTGGTCGGATGGCCAAAATTATTTCACTGATAGATAGCTATAATGTTCCTGAGTGCTATAGGCTATAAAAGAGCAGCGGGTGAAACCGCTGAGAGTAGCTAGTATAATATATTTTTGGGAAAGAAAGAAAATAAAAACCTCTTAATTTTTGGTCGAAATCAGAATGATTTGAATACTACCATTCATTTTTTTTCTATTATTTGATATTTTATTGTAGCTTATCAAAGACAGATGAGAATTTCGGGACTAAGCTTTATGGTCAATGACGTAGCCAGACTATTTGAGAACAGTGGTCGTAAAAGAATCATGAGAAACACATTCTATGTGAACAAAATGATGACCAGATTGTTAGATCACACATATACATATATATGTACGTAGTAAAATAAGCTACAATATTTTCAACTGCGATTTCTTATTCAGGATTTCGTTTAAGGCTCTTTGTTACGTTGTTTTAAATTCCATAATTTCGGTGTTTCATGCCTATCGTTCTTGCCGTTTGGTGTTAAGAATCTGATGGTCCAAGAGTTATCTCTCCTCTGAGGTTGCCTCTAATTGTTTTTTTTTTTTTTGGTATGAGGCTAAGTTGACTAGTGACCTGACAACAAAACCTAGAGGGTTAGAAAGGCAATGTCCCCCTAAAACAGTGGTTTTATTACCGAAAAACGTTGCCGCACACTTGGTTTTTCATCTGTTTCGTAGCTACGTTTAAAAATATATAGGCTCACATACACATCACACCTAGACCCGGAACACCAATCTATGGAAAACAAAAAGTTGTTCTGTGCGAGAACCTGCTATCATATACGCTAACTGTATAAATTGCGAGCAACCAAGTGTAGGGGAGCCAAGCTTCGGCACGAATGGTTCGGCTCGACTGGGGTGTACTACGGCCTTACGTTGTGTTTCGCTGTCTGTGTAAGGTTACCGGAGGCCCAATTCCACCCCCTACTCCCATCCCTTCCCAATCCTTAAATATCTGAAACCCTCATCCATAAAAGTTCGGCAACTCAGTCGTAACTCCTTTGGTGTTGTCTTGGGTGTCAATGGGCAGCGCTGATTATCATCAAGTAATTCGTCATACAAAAAAACTAAGGTCTAGAGTCCTTCTTCTATCATGAGAACAGCTGTAGACTTATCGCATTTACTATAAATATGGTACCAGACTAATTGGCTTCGACAGGCGAAGTTGAAACTCTTGCAACCTAAAACAATAAATTAATTGGTCCATTCAAATGTTTATAGCGATCAAAGTAGTTTAAGCTAATTTTAATTGGACTGGTAAACTTTACGTGATAGAGTTTGTATTTGCACCTGTATACGCAAATTAACGTGAGAAAATTCTTTTTTTTGTATCAGTTTGAAAAAACCTCATGGAGACCCACCGCCCTCGGGGAAGGGTGAAGGGTACTGTCAGACTCTTACTGACTAAAAACCAACCCGGTGTTTCTCCCTTTACCCATGTCTTAGAGGGACAGGTATCGCCTCTACCGCCTCTACCGGAGTGATACCCATCACAACCAAATAGAAAACGGACGTGAAACAACGGTTTAAATGTTTTTGCTGTTTAAGGTTACCGGAGACCCAAGCCTGGCATGCCATTTGATACTTCTTTGGTGCACTTGAAGTAAAACAAAATTTTTAGGCACATTTTCACCTTACCTTTCCTAGGTATTTTTTTTTATGATATAGGTTGGTAATTCACATAGATCGTCATTCGTGATTATGGTAATCGAGCTCACGTATTATCTGATGGTAAGCAATCCGCACCGCCCATGGACACTCGTAATAAGAAAGGAATTACTACAAGTGCATTGCTGACCCTTTGTGGGTTATTACAGATTCGAAGTTAGGGGGTTTGGGGATTGAACGTGGGACGATTAGGACTCCGGTAACCTCAACCACACGGCAAAACACAACGTAAACGTGTCTTCACACCGGTATTCTGTGAGGCCGTGGTATCACTCCGGTCCAAACGACCCATTCGTACCGAAGCATGGTTCTCCTGTACTTTTATTTCAGTACAAGTTTTTTCATCGGTATTTCGACATACACGTCTTGTTTCTCACAATCGTCAAATTTAAACATCGAACTTTAACAGCTTGACTGAGAAAAGTAAATTCAATAAAAGCTTCATGTTATGAGGTCCCAAAGGACATGTCTAATTAGGGTGATTATCAGCTAACTTAAGTGTCATATCCCGGTAGAAGGGAGACAGTTTATGGCCATATGTCAGGATTGTAACAAAAAATATGTTAAACGCTTTTGGGGAAGTCAGGGGAGTGACACTTGTCGTGTTTCGTTGGGGAATTTTAAAACCTGCGTCTTCATGTTCTGTTTGATTGTGTTTTTTTTGTTTTGCAAAATTGTGGTTCCTGATTGGTCAACAACATAATATAGCAAAGTTTAGTTACTTTTTTTTGAACATGGAACTAAGGTTGGTGTTGAATTTTTTTTCAATCCACGTTTAGTTTCTACTTTTGAATTACTCATTACAAGCGAACACAAACTTCAGTAGTAATAAATGACACTTGTCACTTTGACGTTTC